GAATAATCGACTGCGATTGGTCAATTCTTATCGAGCGACTACGACTACGACCATTGTAGACAGAACCGAGAATCATTGTAGCGGAGGCTTTACCCCTGGTCCACAATCTTGCTTTAAGTAAGTTGTAAGCCTTAAGCCGTAAGAAATTAACCAATCACAGGTGAGAGTGAGGGGAATAAATGCCTGCGATTGGTTAATTTCTTACGGCTTAAGGCTTACAACTTACTTAAAGCAAGATTGTGGACCAGGGGTTATTCTTACGACTACGACTTTACGACTTCTATGTAGACGTGGCTTAAGAAATGCTACACTAGTTCACCAGTGTAGCAAACAGAAAACAAGCCTCACATGTCCAACCGCGATCACGTGGTCGCGTAACAAATACGCGAAGGGGGGCGGGCAACGGCGTAGGCAAAAGTGTAGCGAAGGTTCAGCGCATTAAAGAGAGCCACGGAGAGGTTAGGGGTCGTCGGGGGGGTAGAGAGAGAGTTCTCAGTGAGGACTCGTGCAGCCTACGCGTCAGGGAGGCGAAACTACTTTCCCCGACATTGGGAGGATCGCCCTGGAGGATCGTCGGAGCTCGCGCCGCCCTCGCACCGAGTGTCCTCGGGGTCAATTCGGAGCTGGTTCCGCTTGGACCTGTCGACTCCCAACTTGGTCCCCGACTCGCACCCGAGGCTGTGAGTGAGATACAGATACCCCAGCGAATCGTAGACAACGGTTTCTCTGTAACTTAGGATACAACAGTTGCCACAAAATTACCGTAGTTAAGAATACGACGTCGGGATACAATAATCAATTTTGTATATCAATTGTTGATGTAGCAGCCGATTCAAGATGTCCGAGAAACTCCCGAGTGGTCAACCGCAGCCCATTGTTAAGATAGGCCACTATACACTAGGCCAGACCTTGGGCGTGGGTACATTTGGCAAAGTGAAAAGTACGTGTATAACGTGTATAAGACTTCCTTTATATGCTGCTCCGCCAAAAATTATGCGCCTTCTCACGCGGTACTGTTCGCAGTTGGGGAGCACGTTTTGACGAAACACAAGGTCGCCGTGAAGATACTGAACCGTCAGAAGATCAAGAGTCTGGATGTCGTGGGCAAAATTCGCAGAGAGATACAAAATCTCAAGCTCTTCAGACATCCACATATCATTAAGTTGTGAGTAGCAGTTAACCGTAGAATTTTAGTTGTTCGTGTGCAATAAAGTTCGCGTGCGCGAGTCTTTTATCTTAGGAATAAATTGTAAAGTAAGATTTAATTTCGTGGAAGAAAGAGAAGAGCTTGTGGTTCGAGCGAGATGTCAGTATGCATCTTATATTTGGCTCCTTTGAAATAAAATAAAATAGCTTGAATAATCCGGTCCTAATGTATGTTTCACAGATATCAGGTCATAAGTACTCCTACAGATATATTCATGATAATGGAATACGTCTCGGGTGGAGAGTTGTTCGATTATATCGTTAAGCACGGCAAGCTTAAGGAGTACGAAGCGCGGCGGTTTTTCCAACAGATCATATCGGGCGTCGATTATTGTCACCGACACATGATAGTGCATCGTGACTTGAAGCCAGAAAATCTTCTGTTAGATCACAATCTCCACGTGAAAATCGCGGACTTCGGTACTTGGATATAATTGGCATAATCGACACGCGCCCCCCGTTGCAAACAGATGATAAAATCTTGTACGAAAATGTAGGTCTGTCGAACATGATGATGGACGGCGAGTTCTTGCGTACCTCGTGCGGCTCGCCAAATTACGCTGCGCCAGAAGTGATATCCGGCAAATTATACGCCGGCCCCGAAGTCGACATTTGGTCGTGCGGTGTGATATTGTACGCGCTACTCTGCGGCACCTTGCCATTCGACGACGAGCACGTTCCTACTCTCTTCCGGAAAATTAAGTGTGAGTTCTCCTCCCGCTCGGGGAGAAATGCCAGCCGATATTTTCTCGATAGCGCTGGACACTTTCTCAACGGGCACCTTAAGCGGCAGCTAACTAATCAGAGTCTTCTTTAATTTCAGCCGGTGTCTTTCCCATTCCGGAATACTTGAACAAAACCGTCGTCAGCCTCTTGTGTCACATGTTACAAGTGGATCCAATGAAGAGGGCGACCATCGAAGACATTAAGTATATCGAATAATACACTTCTTCGGGATATATTCAGTTAATACGTTGCTACATTTTTGCATACATTTTGCAGAAAACACGAGTGGTTCCAAAAGGATTTACCATCGTACTTGTTCCCGTCACCCGTCGAACAAGATTCATCTGTTATCGATATAGACGCCGTGAACGAAGTTTGCGAGAAGTTCAACGTGAAAGAGCCGGAGGTGCATTCCGCGCTGCTGGGCGGCGACCCGCACGATCAGCTGGCGATCGCTTATCACTTAATCATAGACAATAAGAGAATCGCGGATGAAGCCGCCAAGGCGGAATTAAAGGACTTTTATGTGGCGTCTAGTCCTCCGCCGGTAGCGTTCAGCCCAAACGAGACGAACAGCAGTCCATTGAGGCCTCATCCAGAGAGAATTGCACGTATGTAAAAAATATGAACGGGACAAATACGGCTCACGTTAATTCTCAGCGAGTCTCTCCCTTCCCCTCATTCTGTACCTAGGAATAGATCTGTGGGATTACTAGGAAAATATCTTAGCCATCCTTTGTACATGTACTGTACGCGTAATAATAATGTTACAGCATACCGTGAACGTCAAGGTTCGCAGGGCAGCGCACCCGCACAGACGCAAGGCAGTCGCGGTACGCCTGTGAAGAGGGCGAAGTGGCATTTAGGAATTAGGTCGCAATCCAAACCCAACGATATTATGAATGAAGTTTATCGTGCTATGAAGGCGCTTAATTTTGTAAGATCAACGAATCGCATCCTGTACCGACTGGTACGCTTAAACGCGACGTCACGCAAATTGTCCTTTTTTTTTCAGGAATGGAAGATCGTGAATACATACAGCGTTCGAGTAAGACATAAAAACGAATTGACCGACAGGTATAGCAAGATGTCGTTACAATTGTATCAAGTTGACCACAAGAGTTATTTATTAGACTTCAAATCCTTGTCTAGCGAAGAAGAAGACATTGGACGAGGTAAATTATTTATATATTTAATTGGGTACTTTTAATATATCACTGATTAAATACATAAAAATTTACGTATAAAAACTGTACTCTTTTAGATCCGACATTACCGCCTCCGCAAGCAACGGGCCATCACACAATGGAATTTTTCGAAATGTGTGCAGCATTAATTACACAATTAGCACGATAGCGTGTCTGCTTCTTTTTAAAAAGTTATATTAAATCCTGTTATATATATATATTATGCTTTTAACATTGTATAGTTTGAAATAAATGCAAATGGTATTGTAAACCTACACATTATACAATTAAGTCTTGCCTTTCACAAAATAATTTTAATAAAGGCTATATTTTACGTGCTCGGTTGATTTTTCATTTGAATTCTGAAAATGTGATCGTAATGCAAATGTAAAATATACACCTCTAACAACATTGTAGTTGTAAAAATTAACGGACAGCAGTATCTACATACGTAATCATTTATTATTGAGTACTATAATTGAATGTTTACATTATTACAATCTATTATAAATTACAACACAAATATATATTTATCTAAATGATTATTAATCTTATCATTTATTATTGTATTTTTTTATTTACGAAATCGGTTCGCTATCAGAAAAACCAAAAAATATGTGCATACGCTTATAGAAAAATATACATTACTATATCCTTGTCATATTTAAATTTGTCTCGTGTATATGTCGTACGTACAAATGAATTTGCTTTAATGGGTCATGCATGTGAAAACGTAATCGTGATTTTCCTTACAATTGACGAGATTTATAATAGAAGCTTCTCAAATTAATATACATAACAATCGAGTTAACTACCGTGTGAAAATATACGCTGTAAATTACTTAAACATTTAAACATTTGTCGATATCACTATATAATGTCTTATGGTGAAATCCATTTAAGCACCATCTGTCATTGGAATATTGGTAATTAAAGATAAAATATACATAATGGCACGTTCCAAACCTTGTCTCATACAAATACACGATCCTCGTGATGCTGCCAAAGAAACTGCCTATTATCTGTTATCCAGCTTGCCTTACTTCACATATCAAAATTGGCAAAAAAATATATGTATATATAAATTGGACCATTTTATACTTTGTCGTATGTTTAAACGGAAGAGAATCTTGCCTGAACGCATTCATTGATATGGAATACTCCCAGTTTTGTTTATCTTAATACTGCGCACAATTTTAGGAAGAATTTTATGAAGAACTTATGCAACTCGTGACTACAATGATGATGACGATGATGTTAATGATTATGATGGAAATGTCAAATGCACATAGTAAGTAAAAAAAAAAGGTCCCAATAGTGGAATATATCACGTATCATTATCTAAAATTATATTGCAAAAATATAATAAAACAACAAATGTAATCAATAGTACAAGTTTGTTTTCTTTTGTAAATAGCAAATATATTACACAATGTATGAGATTTCAATGTATAATCCCGGTACACGTAAGGTGTTTCACCATTATTTCAATAGCAGTACTTGAATAGTCGATACGCTGACAATTTTAGAATATATATTTGTTCCCAATGAAAATTCCATTGGAAACACAAGAATCTGCTATTAAAATAATTCCCAATAATCATACACAGTATCCTGTGTAATTGTGAACAACTTTCTGATACAATTAACCTTTCCATCATTATATATAAATACAACTCTCTAACACGACGTGCTGTTCCAACTGGTGGCACAACCTATGGCTAACAGATATTGTATGTGCCATGGCATCGAGGTTTCATAGCCTACCGAACAACTGTACTTCTTACGAAATATTTCAATACCTCGAGCATTTCTTTCGGGAGTGTTAATAATAGTAAAATGAAATAATGTCAAGCAAGTATATACAGTATGCTTTTATCATAGTCACTTATGACTAGAAAATATTATCGTATATTCAGAGCAGAATATACCATTCCACAACTTTAGGAATATATAACTGTGGTATTTGCTAACAAAACATTTTAAAGAGCACACACATGCTTTCTTTTCTACTGTAATATTCATAAATAAATGTGATAAATTACTTCTATCGATAATCTTCTATAAAATCAACAAATCCATGATGAGAGGTCATTGAGTGTAGATGAAGAACTGGGCATGTACCGAACCGTTCATCTCTCGAGCACTAATAAATTTCTGAATAAACAATAAAAACTTATACATACGTGAATATTAAACTAGTGCGTTACATTAATATCTATATAAGAAAAATGTAGGGTATTATATATGTAACATGCCTAGCTACATGTACGACTGTAAATTATAAAACCATTTAGTACATGTCAGAGTATATATCTAATAAATACTGTTTCCTTACAAAAATCATTTTGTCCGCTACTTCACCGAAACGTGGTTTTAATCTTTCGTAAAATAAAATCGTACTAACATATACAATTAATATGTTATACTACATCTAAGAATAACTTTGTAAGATTATGCTTGTGCTTTGGGAAATTAGCAACGTACAATATAAAATGATGGAGTGGCGTGTGACTAAATTAACATACTGCAGAGATGCTCACGCACATCTCTAAACATTTCTTACACTTCAACATATTGCACAAAGTTTGGAAGTTCATTCTTACAGTATATCATATGCAGCAATGTAAGAGGTACAGTTGTTCAGACTTGGGCGTATATGCGTCTTTGAAATGGCACATAGAATATATGTCAATAGTAACCCTAAATTTTGATAATACAGGAGGCGTCTCTCCCTTCGTGCCGCACGTGTGGCGCACACCACGCTCGGGGAACTTCTGTTAAATCTCCTGATTGTCTTCACCAGTCTCATTATCTACAAACTCCACGTGCGTGAACGGGAAGTGCCCGACCTTGCCGTGCAATTCACCCTCCCACTGGCCATTGATATTAGTCTTTGTCACTTTTATCATGTCACCTACTTCTAATTTTAGCGCGGTTTTATCGTACGCGTTCGGCACCCTCGCCTGTTTCACTTTGGCAAAGGCCGGCAGTGTTCTCTGAATGTTCGATCTTCGCGTTATGGTCGCCTGTCCCGTCGTTTCCGCGTGAGGCACCTGCGACGTAGGCCCTGAATTCGAGTTGGAGCCGGAACTGCCGCCGCTCTCAGGCCGCGAGTTATTCTCTATTATCATATGACTATCGTCGTCGTACTTCTGTACGTACGGCACGGGTATCGAACCAGTTTGGCCGACACTATTTCTCGCCGTCCACCACTGCTCTTCGTCTTTCGATATTACAGTAAGTATATCACCTGTGTTACAAGCGCTTCGTTAATACGGCTGTTAAGAAACAGAACTAATTGACCGAAATGAACAAGTCGATATATACCTTTCCTAAAGGGTAAGTCTTCCGAGTCGTTGCCTTCAAAATCGTACTTGGCAATTACCCTCTGCGTCTTCTTTGGCGCTGGCCTAATTAGCGGTGTGGTGTCTAAGTAGTGAAGCTTATAGAAGGCGAGGAGACTCGGGATGTCCGGAAACATCTGATCCCCGATCCGATAACGAATCTGATCCCCCTGCTGGATCTTATTGATGATGTAGTGGCTAACTTTACTGTCCTCCCGTACGCACAGTACAAAATCGCCGTGTATGGAGGTGCTGTCTCGCACTAAAAATACACCGCCTTCTTTCTCGCCCATCAACAAGTCGGACGCATCCTGCCGTGACATAGCACCAAAGTACCAGCTAAAAGAGAAAAACAAAAAAAAAGAATCAGACAGTTAACACGACACAATTTTTCATTCCGGCAAAGTGGGGCAAGTCCCTCTCGCGAGTGAAAAAACAAACTTGTCACCTAAATATTACAGCTAAATGACTAAGCTCCTCCTACTTCTTTTCTAGGACAAAAACAGAGCGAGAGGAAAGGCGCCGGGAACTTTGGTCAGCTTCAACGAGCGCTCGACGCAGGAGGAGAGGGTCTGCAGGATCGACACCCAGGGAACACCCGAGAAGTTAGGAGATTTGTACTCCGCGCCGTCCCGACACTCGTGAGGCGAGCAACGACTCGTGTGGCACGGACCAAAGGCGGTCTATCCAGTGCTCCGAGATCGAGTGCACCGGGAGGACGGTCGGCACCGTTCTCGCGCGGCGCGGCCGCAATTTCGTACGGCCATTACGCCAATAGCGCCTAATGCGAGCGTGACGCCCGGCCGATGAATGAAAACATGGGAATTCTCCCGCACGCACCTCGACTTGTCATACTGATCGAAGGTCGCAGCCATTGTCGCGGCCGATCGGTGGAGGGATCCGGGGGCGAGAAACGGCCAGCCTTTTTCCTTCGTCAATTGTCAATTAATGTATCACGCGGCACGTCCGACGGGGAGGGAAAGAGAGAGAGGGACCCGGCCGAGCTGCCGCATAGTAAGAGGGGCAGCAAAACGCTCTCGCGCGAGCCACCGCCGCGGGACGTGACGCGCGGGACTCCGTCGGCGCAACCGGGCGAGATGCGACGCGCCTCTATCTCCGGCGGAGGGGGAGGGTGCCAGGGAGTATTGGGGAATCCACCCCCTTTCACTCGCGCGAGTCCGAGGGAACTATCACTCCGCCGTGGGACGTTCCTTGCGCGGCGCGGTCTCGAGGGAGCGGATCGTCGGCGACATGTCGGCGAGTCCGTCCGTATACAACGTCCGCGGGCGTTTCGATTCGACGAACGGAACGCTTCTCTTTCGTCTCGATCTTTCTTTTTTCTTTCTCTCTCTCTCTCTCTCTCTCTCTTTGCCTAGGCCGTCGCGAAACCGCCACGTGCCGCACGTCGGTACGACGTCCGCTGCTCGCCGCACGAAGGAGCCGTGGAGCGAACGGCGAGCTCACAAAAATGGTCGCCGGAGTAATACGACATTCGCCCGTACCTCCTAAAGGGCGATTTGCAATGCGCTCGCGCGGTTTCCTCAGTGTCGACTCGCATTGCGGCGAAAGTACATACATACGGAATAGAACCCCGATTCTTGGAGGCCAATTCTGTATCTTACAATATAGTGAAAATGCTAAAAGTAAGTACGTTACCTCTCTTTAAAGCCTTGTGTCCACGATCCAAAAACTGTGT